GGGGGGGGGGTAAATGTCTGAAATGCTCGGGAAGTCCAATAGATCTCTCTGTCAAAAACATGACGTCGATTGGGATGACGAACGGGGGTCGTGTTGAGCAGGAAAGTTGATGGTGTGTTGGGCTACGGAAGTCGGAGGGGCTTCAGGTGCATTGCGAGGGCGGGAGATGCGTCGTGAGTTTGGGCGCTATGGGGGAAATTGGAAACATGTCACAAAGTCCGCTACCCAGTATGCGCAAACCTGAAGGAACCTCCATCTTGATGCCTAGCCACGATATTCCACTCCCCTGGTACAGCCCTGCTTCTTGTCGCTATTGTTAAGCGAATGTTTGGATCAGGAGCGGTCTCTGGATGCTTGTTGCGGCACGAACGTTCGGTCGTGGGGAGTGTTCATCGGAGGATTGTTGTTGAGCAAAGGCCTCAATCGGGAGCGGTTCCTTGGCTGCTTGCCGTTGAGCGAAACAAGAGTGGTTATTTGTGTAATTCCTTAAGCGGAATGTTGGGCAAAGGGCGGAAGCTGCGCTGCTGTCACGCGTAACTTCGTTCTCGTACAGTTTTTCTCCAAGGGGACCGGCATCTTGAGCGCAATCTCGTCGCGGTTGGTCCCTTGGAAAATTGCCATGGACTCTCCTTCGGAGCAATTCGAAGCTCGTCGTGGAGCGCTCGAGTCCGTTACTGAGGGAGTGTTTGTCGAAAGCTCATCGCCGAGCCAGTGCTCGTCTTTAGAGGAGGGCTTGGAGTACTAGAGGCCAGGTTGGTCTGTCAGTCAACAAGAGATAGCCGGCGTCCAAGTCTATGACATGCCGATTGCTTCAGACCTAGAGAGAGTTACTCTAGCTGCTGCTACCAACATGCTTATTGGTGGAAGCAAAACGGAACAGAGTATGTATTGACATGGTGGTAGATTTGCCTTGGAGGGGAAATTTGCTAAAGTGGTAGGGGCTGGGAAGGTAGTTAGGTAACGCGCCATGTGGGGTACTGCGCGCCAAAGGTCTGGAGTCAGCCCCGCGTTCGGTCCTTGACTCACGCTGCAGTAAACATGAGCACGGCAATGCAATGTAGATACCGACGACCCAAAGAATAGCGTCCTAAGCCAACCAAAGATCAATGCCGTAAGGCAAAGATTAGTGTCATCAGGACTGACAACTCCCTCCTAGCCGCTCCCGAAACCGCACATCGGCTCAATCATAGCCCAAAGCCTAAACTCATTGCGAACCCTCCCTCTACGTCGACCTCTTCCGTTCCTCTCAGACGGAACTATTCTTGACTCCGTTCCTGCCGCGCAATTCCTACCTAGTATCGCTTCCAAGGCCAGCGTGGCCCATCTGCTGATAGTCCCCGTGGAAGTTAATTCGTTATGTGCCAAAGGCTGAAAAACTACAACTCAACTTGTTCGATTGGCCACGGGTTGGTTTCGCGCTCGAGGAATCTGATGGCCCCGCGGCCTCCCCCATCTGCCCCTTCACGTACATCTCTGAGATGTTGGCTAAGTCCTGCTCGGGAGGGCTCATCGAAGAGACGCAGATCGAAGAACGAGCAGAACTCGGACTTGGAGTCTTCGAAAATAACCAAGAAGAGCTCGTCCTTCGTCGTGGCGATCTGGAGGATCGGCTTTTACTTAGGGTAGAAGATCTTCTCATCGATCAGGCTGGTGGACTTCTCGTAGTCCGTGCAGTCTCTCGTGCCGACGACCCTTAGAGTTGCGTCTCCTCCGACTCGACCTTGATTCTGTCTATGATCGACTACAAATATTCTATGAAGGACGTTGACTCCTCTGAATAACAAATTCTATACGATATACCAGTTGTTCACCAGACAACTGCTTCAATACCTCTCACCATCTCAACCCACCAATTGACCATCGTCAAACTCTGTCACGTCTAACCAAGGTTGTTGGGACTCTTGGCTCGAATCTTGAATCCTTGCAAGAAGAATATGACGGGAACAGGGACAAGAGCCAGTGCCAAGAACGCAAGGATACTGTTCTCCCACCCGAGGCCAAGATCATCGTACATAGACAATCCGGTGAGAGGAAGCATAGCGCCAGCCAGAGATCGAAGGACTGTCATTGCGGCGACGGCGGATGCTGCGTAGGTGACGTATGCATCGAGGTAAGTTTGAAGACACATCTATCTCGTTAGTGATGCATGGTGAAAGCGAGAGAGGGAAATGAACTCACCATAATCCCCATGAGACTAAAGCAAGACAGCGCAACGCCAATCATGGGCACAATCCAGTGCGTATTTTGATCCGCCGCCCAGCCATACGAAAGCAACGCCCCCCACAATAAGCAACCCCGACGGCAACGTCATCCAAATCGGCAACCGATCCTCAGGCTCCTTCTTACCATTCTGCTCAACCTTCTTCTTAATAACAACCAAACAGCATTCCAATACCTGTAGGGAGATACGCCAGACCGATGGTGCCAGTACTAAACCCATACTGCTGCGCAAATACAAAGGTGAAGGTGCTGAACATGAGGTACAGCACGCCGTAGACGATGGCGACGTAGAGAGAGACAGGATGAACACGGGGAGATGTGTGAAGAGCATTCTCATGGGGCGGATGGAGTCGTTGCTGAAGCGTTGTTTGGGTGTGAGGCCGTCTTTGTCGAGGATGGAGTATAAGTCTGAATTGCCGGTTTCTTTTTTGAGTTTGGCGGCTTTGGTGCGGAGGAGGGTTGGGGCGTATGTCTCTGGGGCGGCGAAGTAGCATAGCGTAGCGATGAAGCCGGTCTAACGATTAGCAGCCATACTCTTCAAGGGAAAAGGTACTTACGAAAATAGCAATCAACTAGAATACCCATCGCCATCTAATAGCCTCAACCATATACCCACCAGCCAACCGTCCAATACACGGCCCCATGGCCCAAACAGCCATAGCCTTGCCTCTCTCCTGCACCGGAAAGATATCCGACATAGTCCCCGACCCATTAGGCATCGAGCCCGTGAAGCCCATCAAAAAGCGGAATACAATAAGCATCGGTATGACTTAGCTCAGCGCCGTAGCGACGGTCATTACAAGGAAGAGGACGTTGGCGATGTTGAAGACGATAGCGCGGCCGTAGATTTCGCTGAGCGGCGCGGCAAGGAGAAGACCGAATGCGAAGCCGAGGACGTAGACGGAGACGACGAAGGTGGCGATGTTGCGGTTGGAGGTTTCGAATTCGCGCATGATGTCTGGAACGCCAGGGGCGAACATTGAGGAGCCTTGGGTTGTTAGTAGGTGTAATCGGGGTTAAGGTAGGGACGTACGAGAGGTCTAAGATGTTAGCGATGGTGTGAGGGATAGTGAGAAGGGACTTACGTTAGGAGGGTCATGACGGAGAGAGCACCGATGTAACTCCGTTTCTTCTTTGCAGGTCAGTTCATGGGATTGTTTGGATCATCAGGGCCATCCCACCCAACGGCATTCGGGTCTTCAGGCTGAGCGAGGTCTTCTTTCGCAGCACTCTCCTCATCCTTCTTCGCTGCGCTACCAGTATAAGAAGGCATAAGCGTCCACTGACTCGCGGGTAGGCTAGTCGTGAATGGCAGCGCCGAGGAAGGCTTGGAGGAGGCAGTGGAAGGGAGTGAACCAGTACATCCATTCGCGCCAGACGGTAGGAAGACCCTGCGGCGGGACGACGACACCGCAGAAGAATACAACTAACAGGAAGACGATGGGGGTCGTTAGCACTCTTTCGCTTTTCTTCAGTGGATTCGCCACGAGGAAGAACAATGCTCGATGAAGAATTGCGATCGAGAATAGGCGCGTGCTGCTGTTGGGGCTCAAATGTTAACGCCCCAAACGAGGCTGAACTGCCGGCGGTGACATGATCGTATGTCGTAGCCGCAGTATCACGGCCCGCAACGCAAACCCGGCCTCAAGTTGTCTATCAGTGATGTTTCCCGTTGGGTAATCGAGTTGACGCTTGGCGTAACAGGAACACCGCCAGGGATGTCTTCATCCCTGGGCGTAGGTCTCTCATCAGCCATTTCGCTATCAAAGAGCAGAATAACCTCACGGGAACGAGGATCAACATTCTATTCTTAGTTAACGAGCATTGACCATAATGAACAGACATTTACAGACATTTTCCACTTGTGATTTATCTATGATGACATCAGAGAATGGTCTAGTCGGTCTTTCGGACATGCTGGAATTGCGACGCGGTCCGGGTGCTAGGTGGACATTGGGCGCTGTAGACTGAACAGTAGATTACCCTGTAGTGCCTCAGAGAGATTAATTTTGACGTACGAGTAGCAGACCGCTACAGGTCGAGCTACGCATGACGTTGCAGCGGCATTTTTATTTATCCCACGGACGGCAAGTGTCATCAGCTAGAGCATGCGATTATCAGCTTGTCACACACTTTGACCTTTCGGGATATTTGGTAAATCGTATCGGTCCCGAGCGAATCGCAACCCAACCAGGCGTGGACAAGATTAGGGCTGGTTTGTTGTAGAATATTGGGAAATATATTTCATTTTTCTTCGATTTGTGCGATTGGTTGCATTCAATGTCTTTCATGCGTGTAAGATTTGTATGCTGTGCAATTGTGCCCGCGGCAAAAATTTGTCATTGACTCAAACGCGGCGTCTCGCACTCAAAGCCCCATATCACTCACTCACTCTCACTGTATTCCCCTCTAATCTCCAGCACTAACATCCCATTACGTCTCATTAAAAATACAGCATCGCGCGATGGCACTAAAACATCCCGATTATCAGGATTTCACCACGAGAAAACAACCCGAACTCGACCAAGTGACTAGACCATACCGTTTTATTTGAAACATGACCAGATAAAAATCAGATCATGATCTCCGATGCTTATTGGGCGTAAACGTTGCCATTTCGAGACTCCTGCAGCGAATGTTTCAATGTCTGTCTCAGCTCGACCTCTCATATCGTAGCGTCCTAGAGGCGGGCGCCAATTAACCGCCGATAGCGACAATCCGCATTTCTCACGCTCGGACGAAATGTTCCGATTGTGATCTAGCGGGAGATGTTATCTGATCTGTACGGTACCTGAGTTAAATCGTGAAGCTAAACCTAAGCTAAGCTTGAGGCCTCTAAAACACCATCACCAAAGAGCTGAGATACCCAAGTTAAAGCAGACCTCTGTGTTTTTTTTAGTGTCGAAATTGGTGTAATAGTGCTGCGACATGTACTGCTTATACGATTCACATATTCTTTTCCCCTCAGCCCGGACCCAGCCCAAATGCAAGCCTCGAATGCATCGGAAGCCCTTGTGTTACACAAACCTCAAGGGCATTCGATGAACAGCCTTGTCACGATCGTGGGACCGCTCCGACGTGCTTGATTCGCTGGGCATACTGAATTTTGCTTCTGTGGGCGAAACGTAGCTCCGCGTGCATGCTGCCGCTGCTCAAGGTTTATATGAAGGCCCAATCCCCCCCAAGATTGACTGACAATACCCAATGTTCAGACAATAACGCACGTCAAGAACACTACTCACTTTTTTTTAATATAAATTATCACCACCAACACTAAGAAACCATGTGTCAAACGGTGGAAGAAAACGGCAACAAACCCCAGAAGCAGAGCCAGAATCAGAACTGCTGCATGCCATCTTCGGCTAACGTTACGGGATCGACGCAGGGTCCTAGTCATGCCGATCTGCCTCGATATCACGTCGAGACCTACCCTATCCCCGTTCCCCTGTCGGAATATGACTTTGATCACCGACGCACCATAACCATTGAGTCTCAGCAGCGACTCTGGCCCCAGGACATCTGGGTTCACAGTCCGCATGGACGACAGCTGTATCAGCCTGTGCTGATGTTTAAGACGAGGGCCCCGGAGGATAAGACGGAGACGAATGGAAGTGCTTCTAAGAGCGGTTAATTTCTTTGGGACGGATGGCGATTGATATGTGATTTGGGATATTGAATTGGAGGAGTCGTGATGGCAAAATGATTGAATGGGTTTGGATTAACGGTATGGAACACACGTGACGGAGTTGGGGTCTTTCATGACATGGCCAATCAGATAATTGGGATTTATCTGCTTTATTCTACATGCATTTCGACAAAAATCACAAAACAACAGGGGCTTTTCTACGTCTGTACCATCGTATTTGGGGTCAATCACTGTATTAGCATAGCAAACACGATTGATGAAATGATACATCAATATCTTCCCCAAAATATCAACACTCAAACCTCCACTCCACATCCTCCCATCCCTGCCTCATCGCTATCTCAGCCCCCAACCCAGCGCCATACCTCTCAGGCCTTACCGTCCCGCCTGCAAGCTGCGGTCCCAGCATCTTGACATTGCCAAAGCCCATCCCCACAGCCTCAATCTCAAAACCCAGTAGTAGAGCAGACGCGAAGCCGATTATCTCTGCTAAAGCGAGGTTGCGGCCTGGACACAGATGGCGACCGCCTCCGAAGGGTATGTACGCTGCTTTTCGCTTGCGCTCATCCTCTGTGCTTCCCTTGGATGATGGGAGGAAGCGCTCTGGATTGAAGACGTTGACATCTGCGCCCCAGACACTGACCTCGTAGTGTTCTACGCCAGCGGGGAGTTGCAAGTCTGTGTCTTTTTTGAGAATATATGTTGTTCCTTCGGGTGTTGTGACGCTTGTGTCTTGGAGGATGCGTCACGTGCTAAGAGTCTGGTTCACAAGACGCAACGTCTCGCGATAACAGCTCACCAGCAGAGGCATCCTCTCCTCAAATTCCGCAATATTAAACGTCGCACTCCTCTTGCCATTATTCTCCTCCACAACAGCTGCATTCTCAGCTTCGGCTCGTATCCGCGCGAAAGATCCGGTCAGTCGAGGATGTACAGCAAGGGCCAGTAAAACGTCGGCACGGCATCAAGCGTCGCCACATTCGGGAGAATAACCTCAAACTTCACAATCTCGCACCCCAAAAGACCATTCTTTTGTAGTGCTCCGGCGCGATTTCGTACGAGGGCAGAGACGCTGGGGTCGTGGATGTCGTGGTCTTCGGAGTACCATTTGCAAGCGATGTTTTGCAGCGTGGAGCGCGCTTTGTAGGCTTTTGGCATTGTAATTGAGGGGAAGAGTGAGAGGAGGAAGTGGGGGACTGATTCTTCAAAAAGCCTGGTTTGTTAGCGATGCGTAGACGCGGGATGGGGTGACGCTATACTAGTTCGCTATGGGGAACACATAAACAAGAACGTCCTTTGCGTGGAGGACGGCTCGGGGAGATTCGACCAGGTCTTGTGTCAGATATTAAGGTGAATTGTGTATCTTTCTTGATTCTGTCGCAATCGAAGGACTATTGAGACCTTATATCTTGACTGATTCCTTCTAGGACT